GTACTTTTACTGGGCAAAAGTCTGAGACATTTATTACCTTCTACAGTACCTTCTATAAGCACTTCTCCTTTACCTGCACACATTTTAAGAACCAATGTTTCATCTTCTATTAGTATATTGTTTTTGTCAGCTCTCCTTACAATTAGATCTTTTCCATTGCCTTGAGGATCTCTGTCAGTTACAGAGACTCTGGATGACAAATGGCTTTCCCCCGCAGGTTTTACTATTAAACTGGGCTCAGAACAAATGTCTTTATCAGAAGATGAGTCACCCTGAAGTGTCACATTCTCATAATATGGATTTCCATCTTTCACAGAGTCCATAGATTCTGGCCCTTGAATCAACTTAATCCCTGTGTTCTTTAGATCATCCGCTAGTTCAGAAGTTGAACCGACACTAGTATTATGTAAAACACCAACAGGGCTTAAAGCGTTTTTCGATTCAGTGTCTTTCATGACAGACAGCAATTTATCCTTAAGGACCGTCTCATGATTCAACAGATCTTTGCTTTTTCGAGCAACCTCAGTTGCATGTTCTGGAAGGTTACTTCTTTCAGGAACCAAGCTCCTTTTACTACTTGATTCTGGCTGCAAAACATTTACACTCTGCTGTTTTTCCAAAGAACTATGATGGTGCTTTGGATCCGGGAGAATCGTTTTATTGCTACTTTGACTTGCATGGCTGTCTCCCAGTTTGGGTGCAGTGGTGACACCCACGGGGATATCCACACCCTCAGCCTCGTCCTGGCACACGGGCTTTCCACCCTCACCTCCTGATCCTTCTTCTTTGGCATCACCATCACCATCGTCATCATCGTTGTCCTGATCACTACTGTCACACTCAGAGTCCCCATAACTTTCTTCATTTTGCACAGAATCTAAACGATCAGGATCAGATTTAAATTCTTGCCCAGTTACGTACTCTTCTCTCCCTCTCCAACAGCCAGCATCCTCAGAATTTAATGGAGTCCTGAAGCTCTCTTTTCTTCCTACAATTTCATGGTCAGTCAATGAGTCAGACTCATCACCTTCAAGGTCATCTGTGCTGTCCCTTTCTGATACGATTTCCATCAACTGTCCATTCACCTCATAGGAGGCAAGTGAATTTAAATGGATTCTTTCACCAGAATCGAATTCTGCTTCCTCAGCAACTATGAGAAAATCCTGCAGAGACTGTGCTTCTCCCCTCACACCTAAGCTATCAACCAGTCCCCCTTGGGTCCCCAAAGAATGTTCATCCTCTTTAGAAACATCATAAAAAGCCTCTCCAGGAGGAGCGGCCCAGGCATCTTCCTCTGGCAGCGTGTCATAGTCCTTGGGCTGCAGACAACCATGGTCATCACCTTCCAGAGGCAGGGAATCATGGTCATCATCTTCAAACAAGGGCGTGTCATAAAAGTCAGCATCGCTGTCTGTATCTGTTTCTGTGTCGCTCTGCTGATCACCCAGCAGTGATGTTTCATAGTCACCAGCACTGGCGCTGACAGTCTCCTCAAATGATGGGGTATGAATGTGAGCCATGTTGATGTGATGACTACCACTCCTCAGGGCACGGGAGGACCCCTCCACCGTGGACTCACTTTGCTTGTCTTCGGGTTCCTGACGAGAAGCAGCAAGCATTTTTTCATCATTCTGATCTTGTACCTGACGATTACTATAACAAATACTGAAAGATTTCTGTACAGTGTTTTCTCCCTGTAAACTGATGTTGATAGCTGCAATTCCCAGAAACTGGTCTTGAAATTTTTCTCTTATTCTTTGACCCGATAACATGGTTTGGTCACTGAATGGCAATGTAGAGGCTTCACGTTTATTTCCATTGTTCTCTGCAGTGTGTACATCATGAAAACTTCCCTGACTGGTCCTCACTTTATCATGACTTAACAAGGCACTCAGCCTGGGGGAATAGTCCAAGAGACTTGAATCCCTGCTAATATTATCTTCATTCACTGTTTCATTCAAATCACAGAGTCTACTAGTTTTTGATTTTACTATAGGACTTATCAAATCACTTGCAAAGTTTTGAAGGTTTTTAGAATGACTACATTCATCTGCATGCTCCTTTGTTTCTATTTGGCTTTGATTTTCACCGTTTTCAAGTCTGTTTTCAGAGTCTTGTCTGAGCAGGCTAACTTCAGCAAGTCCAGGCTCTGTTAAACGTGATATCAAACTAGGAACACACAGGCTGGATGAATCCCTAACTTTATAATCAGTTGCCAGTATATCTGCCACGTTTTCTGACTGGCGAAATTCACTCCTGGTAACGTTAGTTCCCAGTTCCCAAAACTCTTCATCTATGGCATTTTCAGAGGTTCCTTTACGTTTAGGTTCTCTGCAATGACATTTATCAAAACTACCTGGTGTAGCTGTACTTTCACTCGTTTCTTTACTTGCAGCATTGTTCAGAAATACGCCAGGGAGTCTTATGACATCAAGACATTCTTTTACAGGCGTGTTCTCATCAATTTCTGCACCACAGCCTTCCAGGAGCATCTGAACAGCGTCATTCAAGCCTCCATCGTACAGCAAAAGCCTCTGCCCTGTGTTTGCATCCATATAGCTATTTATCATCAAATAAGACAGGAATAATTTTTTAGTTTGTTCTGAGCTCTGAGTCACCACTGGCTCTTCTCCATCAAAAACATCTTCTTCTTGCCTGTAATCATGGACCATGGATGGTTGGAATTTACAAAAAGAGAGCCATCTTCTGGAATTTTCACAAGCTTCGAAATCTCCCAAATCTGGCATTTTATCAGGCAGCGTTATACTTTTTAAAATCGATGCTGTGTGATTATCTATGATTCCGAGTTGTGTGGCAACGTCCAAACCAATGACTTGAGATGTTTCTGGAATGTAAAGAGCAGCGATTTTCTGCCTGCCGTTCAGGATCTTAGACGCTAATTCATTGGTAATCAACTCCTGCTGCAGGGAAGAAGATGTAGGGAATATCTCCCCAGAGTGAGGCCAGATGAGGCCCACATAGCCTCGCTGAGCCTCGAGGACCAGAAGGGCACTGCTGGACGTTATCAGATCACATTGGACTGCCTCATCGACAGTTAAACGCTTGGCGGGGTTGCACTGGATGATTCCACCTGTTTCCACCTGGTAGGTGAAGATACTGTTGGCAGTGTCTCTGTCCATCACCCCCTCTGCCACGGCTTCTTCTACAGTCATTCTCTGACCAGACTTGGAATGGATCAGACCTCCTGAAAGCAGCTGCGCACCCAGTAACCTGAACATGGTCTCACGGTCTATGAGGCCTTCGTGAGCTGCCCTTAAAATGCTTAAGTTTCTCCCACATTTTAACGCTATCCTGCCTCCTTCTTGTGGCCTCACAGGCAGAAGCCGCACCCCTGTGTTTTCCTGTAAAATACTTCTTTGCATGATATCTATTAAAGACACCTTCTCAGAGGTGGAGGGGTCGATAAGATCTTTACACAGATTCTGCCGTTCCAGGATTTTAGAAAATAAGGCAGAGGAAACCAGGTGCTGCTGGAAAGCCTTCTGCAGCGTCAGCTGTTCTCCTGTGGCCGGAATAACGAGAGAGCCCGTGGAAAGCAGGATCTCAAGAACTCTGATGGCCATGGGTTCTGAGATCACACCTTCAGCCAGAGCATCCAGCACTGGAACCGTGGTGGACGACACAGCAGAAATAATGTCCTTCGTTTCACTGAGTTCTTGGAGTTGGCTAAGAACTTGCTCATCAATAAGGCCATGATTTTGGGCATCTTTGAGGTCAAAGCATGTTCTTAATTCTGGTGAAACAAGCCCAGAAATCATGAGCTGGGTCTCAAGCAATCGGATCCCCGTGTCATAATCAATGAGGCCTCTTAACACGGCCTGAAAGACAGAAAGGACTTCTCCTGTGCCCTGATCAATGGTGCCTGCAATGACTTTATCCAGCTGAAAGGAAAGCATGAAGTCTCAGTCAGTGACAGGAGGGTGGGCAGAGCGTCATGAAACTTAGTTTGCATTTTCTTATAAAAAAGACACTTCGACATAAAAATCCTCTACTTACCAAGACGCGGCAAGGCTGTGAGTGTTAAGCACCTCAAATGCACAAGTGATCTATGTCAGTGATCTATTCGAGAGCACAGGATGTGATAAAGCTTTGAAAACGACATGCATCTGTGAACTGAAAACTTCATATCGTGTACATTAAGAAGGTTAGTGAGGACACAGGAAATGATGAGGGTGAGGAAACAGGACACACACCTAGAAGGCAAACCATGCTCTCTGCAATCGGGTGAGATTAGTCTCCTGACACAAGAGAGAGTTTCAAACCCCATGCTATTGATGTTTACAGCATACAGACTTCTTCACAGATAGCCAAAACCCATGAGCCAGGAAAATCGTTACATACCCTCAAAATACGACAAATAGTATGTAAAGTACTCCAGGGAGTGAGGGAATTCAGTATGAAGATAACTTTTTGAATACTGGATTTTGTGTTGAATATGTGTTGTCAAGTTTTAAAAGTTTAAGGATAGGCCAAATTTTAAGCTATTTCTGTTATATTTTAAGAAGATGCTAGAGCATCCTCGCTAAAACATATGGCCCAGTATTTCTCAAAGAAATCTCATGGATATCTCTGAAAATCAGACAAATCCCCTAATACTCCAATGTCACGTTTAGAGGTGACTCACAGACTATTTTATACCATCATATTTATATAGTAAAATATCTATCATATCTATATAACATATATCTATATAACAGTAGAAGAATGGCTTTGACAGAGAAGAGTTAGAAAAATGAATGATTCTTTCCTTTTACCATGCAAGGCAGAGATTAAGATGTCACAGAAATTGATGACAGCAAGTGTAAGACTGCATTTAATGAACAACACTGAAATCTCCTAGTACTTAAATAAACCCCACCCATGTTTCTTCCATGTACACAACTCAAGGTCATTTCTTTGTCATTGACATATATTTCTACAATCATGCAGTTAAACTAAAAGTCTTAAAACAGCCTCATGTTCTAAATAAATAACATTACCTTCTCCTCTACCTTTATATCTCCTAAGGTTTGTGATTGTTGTAGTTGTTTCAGAGATTCACTAAAGAATAAATTATAACTTTCTTGGAGAGTTTTCACTTGTTTTTCCAATTCATTTCTTTCTTCGTCTGTCATTCTAAAATAACCAGGAAGTACGAAAAGACGAATATAAGTCTTCAAGTGATAAAGATGACACACTAGCCTCGATGATTTTGCAAAGAATACTTTCCTAAATTAGCATAGGGTCATAAAATATAATATAATCTCATATACAGATTACTCAGGTCTTAGAATGGTTGTATATGAAAATTAAGGATGGCCCTTATGACCCTAAAAACATCCAGGAATCCTTCTCTTGCCTGCAAAAGGACTAAAAGAGAAGAGTGTAAACAAACATAGCAGCACCTCTCTAGCATATACAAATTTCTAAAATAACAACTGCTGTTGTCTGACAGAGGGAAAGATCCCATTGTTCGTTCCAACGTGGAAAAGGGACAAGTAAGGTACCATGACTCAAGATGAAACTTGTTCAAGCGGAAGGATGAATAAAGAGGAAATTTATAAGGAGATTAACCCAATTTCCTTATAAACTTAACCTAAGGTACAATATAAAATCATTCTAGAGTAATTCTAAAGATGACAGACAAACAATATTTAAGAAAAGGGTAGATTCCTTCCCTGTCTGAGGCATTAACTGAAATATATGAAGTGCCTTGTTGCAAAAAGTAGGACCAAACCACAAGAAATTAAGTTGCCACAGTTCTCAGCTAAGAAAATGAAGAACGTATTTACACACATTTTCCAAAAGGTAGGTCTTGGAGAGTAAGTACTACTCAGAATCAAGACTTGGCTTGGCATCTTTACAACTCACTATAGCTGCAGATCCTAAACTCTCTGAGCCTGTTTCCTCATCAGCAATATATGGGGGTAATAAGTACATTTCAGGGTTTTGGTAAAGACCAAGAGTGATGAAAAGCGACAATTAAATAGCCAAGTTTATAGTCTTAGGTTATTATATTACTAAGTAAATTTGTGATTGAGTCCCATTTTTAAACTCTACATTGCAATTTACCATCTTCCACTTTGCTAAGAGTTTTGAAGGCCACTCCCCTACTTCAAATGAAAGACCTAATGAAAACCAACATACTTGTCTCCATGTTTAGCCAGGAAGAGCTGCATAGTTTGCAGTGCTTCAGATAATTGTTCCTTCTTGACTGATATTTCCTCACTGGAAATCTGCGAGGTAAAGAAAACACACTCAAGCTCTTCCTTCACAAAGATGAGACAACAGTCATTTTAAAAAACTCCAAGTTTTCATCAAGACCCACATGATGGGAATACTTTCAGGTGATCTGAGTCAATACCCATCACTTATTACTGGTTCACAGGCCTGGATAAGAAGACTGCTTCTGAGAATGCACGATGAAGGAAAGTCCCTCCCTCTAACCCTAAGGCCATCATTTCCACGAGGAAATAATAATAGCGCATGATATGGTTCTTGCATTTGTCCCAGCCCAACCACGAATAGAGAATGCCTTAATGATACCCCAGGTGGCCAGACGTTCAGCACTGGAAGAACATCGCCATCCTCAAAAAGATACATGAACATGGAACAAAAACCTTCCGTTCCTTCCCCCAAGCTCCTGGATACAATGCTCCTTTGGAAAAAAATTCCTCTCTAGAAGTATTCCTCTCTAGGTCTGCAGGTCAAGATTAAATAATTTCTATTACTAGGACTTCACTTGCAAAAGTTGCCTGTGACAGAGAAATAAAATTGACCTGTTTACTTTCTCCTAATTCCTCTCTGTATCATTTCTGAAGACCTAATATCAGAAAGTAAATGCCATTCTTTTAAGTGAGCAGAAATGAAATGATGGGACAATGAAAAGGTGTATTTTCCCCAGACGTATTCTACTGAGAGTCAGCCTAAAGTCTATTTTTCATGGCTATTAGGTAATCATGAGGCAATACTGATTTTTTGAAAGACACACTTATTACTGACATCAAATTACCTTAAATATCCTTCAACAGAGAGACCATCGAGTGTTATTCAAGATTTATAACTGGGGCCATGATCTGCATTGCAAAGGTATCTGTCTACTTTTATGCCTGCTAGGTCTAAAACTAACACTGGTCGGTAAAATTTTGGAGAATTTAAAACTACAGAATGAGGAAATACCAAGTGTTTATAAACCACGCTCCTGAAAAGAAACTTGTTCTCTCAAGAAATCCTCACTAAGTTTGTGTCCCTATTTTAGCTCTTTTCCTATTTGACAGGGGGAAAGTGAAGATGTTTGAAACTAAATATTCGCATAAAATTGCTTTGAAGGTTTTGGGTTTAAAACACTAAATGTAATTTTCCTTTCCAACTTATTTCCCCCACACTCTATAAAATGTAGTTTGCTAGACTATGAGCTAAGCTGGCTTTATTTCAACTGAATGAGAATTCAAGTAAATACTCAGGTCTATAAACCTCTCCCGGGGGAACCTCAAATAAGGTTCATCTGCCTCATACCACAGGCGAAATGAGACAAGATGTTGAAGCTTTCTGTTATTGGATTATGTCAAAAATGTTCTGTTTCAAGTGATGACAAGCTGGAAGGGAAAGCTAATGATCGCCTCTGTAGTTTCCACAGGTCAGGCAGGAGCAGCAGGGCAGTGCAGGAAACATAATCGAGAAAAATACTGCTTACTTAGTGAAAATTTATTTTTTAAAATATAGCAGCAATTCCAGCGTTATCAGTAGCAGCAGCAAAACTGCTTAACTCAGTGCCCTAAGAGCTTCAGGCGGGACAGCCCAAAGGACACCTCAGAGCAGTAACATCTCACGAAATGCGGCCACTCAACTTATGTCAAGTAGTGGGGTTCAGAACACAGCCTACAGAACTAAAGACTTCATTTAGGGAAGGGAAAGAATCTAGAATTTCCAGTGGATGATGGGAGAACACTTCTTTCGGAAATAGAAAAGACCCAGAAAAGCACAAATAAATGCGATCCTCAAATGTTAATATCTTGGTCTGCAGTTTGTTGCTCTTGAAACTTTTTGTTTCTATTCTAAGAACGAGCTTGCAACTCTTTATGACACAGAGTGCATGAACGTACTCAGGGCACAAAACAGAGTGACTCTGCTCTCCTGCAACGCTCATCAAAACGATCAGGAAGCAGATCTCACTGTGAGGAAAAGCAGTCCCACACATTGGTTGACTAACAGTGAGACTAATATTGATGAAGTCCAGGTTTTGGAAGCAGAGACAGCTTCTTCTGCCACATACTGTGATTCCTTGGGCAAGTTATGTAACGTCTCTGATCCTCATTATAACTGCATATAGAAATGGGGGAAACTAAAGAATTAAAGGGTTTTCTTTTAGGTGGACTGCATCAACTCAGTAAATTCTCCCCACTATAATTATTATCATTATTATTAAACCAGGACCTTGGTGAGTACCTTTTGCTTAAAGAAGGAAGACTTTTCAGCCTTCTCTCCGTCTTTCAGTGTCTTGCTGATATTTGATACCCATTTTTGTAATTCTCTGGCTTTTTCAACATGCTCTTTCTTTTCTTCTTCCAGTGACTTCTGACAGGTGTGAGTGGATTACAAAAAAAAAAAAGATATATTCCAGTAAATTACCGAGCCATTAAAGTGATCTCTCCACAGAAAACAAGGATTTAAAAATATTTTTTCATCACACACAGGTTATCGAGATATTTTATTCATTTTTTACCATATTCAACATGTCACGTAGCAGATGTACTTCCAAAATGTTTATGGTAGCAAAGCAAGCTGTGAGAAACAGTCTTGAATGATCAGCCTAACCTCCCAGCTAGTCTATTAATATGACTCATTTAAAAACTCAACTTTATTCATGAAGCACTAGAAGAAATCTGAATTGCTGCCTTTGCATTAGCATTACAGTCATAATTGTCGTGACAGAAAAGTAACAGACAATGGAAAGCTGAAAGAATAAAGTCTACACAAAACAAAAAATACACAGAACGAAGAAAAACCTTCCCTCTCCTCCAACATATAACCCATTCATAATGCTGCTTTTAATTACAAAGTCGTAACTAGAAATGGGAGATAGTGGTAAAATATAATATGTAAAGAAGATTACGACATACAGAAAAACTAAAAATGTTCATTTTTCAAGGCAACCTGAAACTACAGCCTCACGGATGTGAGAACAAGTTTACATTTTCCTCTGTGATTCCACGGTTCTTTTTTAAGTGCTCTTTCAGTGAGTGTAATGAATCATTTAATAAATGGGAACCCTGACACCAGGTTGGATCCAGGCAGTGATGCAGAGTTCTGAAGAAAGGATGCTGTAAATTCGCTGGAGATCCTCAAGCTTAGCCCATATTCCAGGTAAAATACTTTTATTTAGTTTGGGTAGGATTCAAAAAACGAACCTCAAAGCTAAATGGAACCATTATGAAGAGCAGTAAATCTTTTGTTATTTTCCATTTTAAAAGTATTCTCTCTCGGGCAGAATGGAGTCTAAAATCCAAGCCTCCTGATGTTTAGTCTAAAGGAGTGATGCAAATTCTTCCAGATCAGGAGACAGCAAACTTTATTCTGGAAAGGACCAGAGAGCCAATATCTTAGGCTTTGTGAGCCACATGGTTACTGTTAGAACTACTCAACTCCGTCCTTGTACCCAAAAGTAGCCAAAGACAATATGTACACAACAATGTGTCTGCATTCCAATAAAACTTTATCTAAAAAAATAAAAAAATTTTTTAAATTAAAAGTATTCTCTCTTCTGAGAAGTCAGGTGTTTCCAGCCCTCAAGAAATTAACAGTGCTTCAAGCATGTCACACAATTACTAGGCCGTGGATCTCATACCATCAAGCTGTGGACAAAGCAGACGAACTAGACAGCAACACCCCTGACTCTGGTTCTATAAACAGGTCCTACTGTGAAGAATAGTAGAGGCTGGAAATCCCTGTCATCAAGGGCTCAGACACTTCTAGGAGTTTAAGTCCTGTGTGGAAATCAAAATCAGCTTTTTCTAAGGCTTCTTTATATGTCAACTTTCTTTTTGTTTGAGGACAGAGGATGTTTCTGACATAGGACTTTTGATCTTTGAGCTTTGTAGCAATGAAGACATCTATAATCCCTACTTGGAGGGCTTCTTCAATCGACAAGCGGGACTGGGACTGGGGCTCAATCAGCCCGCCTGTCAAGTACTGAAATTCCAGACAGCGGATTCCCATGTCCTTACTTATGATATTTGCACTCACAGCTTCCACCACTGACATCACTTTGTTACTGATAGGGTGACTGATCCCCGTGACGACTAACTCACACTGCCGCAGCTGCTGCGCAAACCCCTCGTCCACCAGGCCTCTGTGCAAGGCCTCGGCCACCCGGTACCTCTTGCCGGTCAGAGGGTCAATGATGCCCCCGGTACTGACTTGGGCTTCAAGGCATCGGAGGGCGGTGATCCGATCAACCAGATTCCGACGTGTGGCCTTTAGCACAGAGATCCTTTCCCCACTGGAAGTCAGCCAGTACCCCGCCACTGGACTGCGCAAGTCCTTCTTGGGGACTAACCTACTCAGCAAGGAATCAGCGAGTTCTGTGAGTGTGAGGAAGCCTTCCTGATACTTTTTGATGGAGGCTTTGTCAATGGTTCCCTGCTCTATGGCCTCGCTGATACTGAACTGTAATCCTGTCTTAGTATCGGTCAGCATACGACAGGGACGCCCAGAGGACTCAAAAAACGTGGCTTCCTTCCACTGATACTGCTGCCCCGACAGCTCAAGGTAGGTACTTTTCTCAATCAGGTTTCTCTGGAAAGCCTCGTAGGCAGTCAGTTCTGCTCCTGTCTTAGTATCGACGACAGCAATCCTGTGAGTTTTCGCTACATTGAGATTGGAAATGTTCCTCTCCCCAAATGGAAACAGAAAGCACTGCCCGTCTATGTCAAAGACACACATGTGCAGTAACTCTGAGTAATACAGGGTACGCTTGTTATTGGGATTGGGAAAGGCTCTGGTGTTGCTGGAAGGCTCATGTAAAAACTGTAGGATGGCGTTATTTAGCAGCCCCTGCTGCAGGGCAACTTCTGGAGGAACCCGAATGCCCCTCACGGGGTCGATGACGCCCCCACTGGCAATCTGCACCTCTAACATATGTTTGCCCCTCTGCCTGTCAAGCATTCTATTTTCCATGGCTTGGAACACTGACAGTATCTTAGAAGAACATGGATACCCCAGGGCCGCCTTCTCTGCCTCAAGGAGCCTGATTTTGAATTCGGGGTCAACCACACCTTTAAGGATTGCATCCTCAACAGAATAGGTCTGCCCTGAAAGGGGGTCAATTATGAAACCCGTGGCCGCCTGAGCTTCTAAAAATGCTAAAGTCATCATCTTATCGACGATGATTTTCTTGGCAGCTGAGGAAAATGAAATCTTTTCTGTTGTGGATTCTAGGTAAAGCCCTGCGATGGAGGTGGCTTTTGTCAAAAACTTGCTCAGAGTTTTCTGGACTTCGTCAACGGTCTTAAGGCCAAGTCGCAGCTGCTCAACTGTTTTCATGTCCAGAAGCTTAGCTTCGACCAACTGCCTGGCCGTCACAGTGTGCCGGAGCCCTTGGAATTGAAACTCATCATCCCTGACCGAGCATGCATGATCACCACCAAAGTTCTGAAAGGTCTCTGGTTCTGAGCCCTTCTTAAGAAAATCTCTTTTGAGTCCACCCAGTGCCCTGCACCCTTCAAGCAGCCATTCATCAGCACCGGGGACTGGGCTCTTTTCTTGCTTTAATGCCGTGACTTCTGTGTGCATAGCATACTGCTTGCTCTTAGCTATCTGTAACGGGAATTTATAAGACGTTAAAAGTCATCTAAAGAACATTGTCATGTTACCCACTCTTAATCCAAATATAATTCCTAGAATAACAAAGATGAGATAAGGGAAAAAACACTTTCAAGCCCAAGAGGGTTCAGGAACAAGAAATATTATTTTGACAGTCTGAACTTTAAACTTTAGATGACAATTAAGGTATTAAAATGCTATGTCTAAAAAAGACAGGAGGTAAAATCTGTCCACAAAACGTGTTAGAAATTAAAGTTAACTGCTTGGTTTTTCTAGTTTTTTTTTTTTAGGGTCAAATTTTTCAGGATAGAATCCCATAGATATGACAGGATAGCCATGACCTCTGTGTTTTTCATCTCAAACATTTAAAAATTGAAGACTGTAGTTTGTAGTAAAGATTCAAGTAAATAACTAGAAAATGATAGCATGATTTTCTGTCAGACTACAAAGAGCCACTCACATTCAACACGGTTAAAAAATGTAGCCTAGCAGAGAAAGGAAACAAGAGCAGAAACTTGACAGAGGGTAGCTGACAAGGTTCCAGAATCCAGGGTATACCTCTAAGGGTGCCAGAAGCGTCACCAGGTCTATTTCACACCTGTCATCTTGACACCTGACAGCGGGTCTGGAATTGTACAGACCTTGATTTCTTAGCTTCTCGATTTCTGACGGTCTTGCAACAGGGTTCATCTCATCAAAAGTTATCTGTAATTCGGTGCTTGTTTGAGAAAAGTATTCAGAGTAACACTGCTGACTTTTCTCTTGCTCAACCAGAGCTCCTGACGGCCCGCCCTGGCCCTCCTTCTGCATCTGTTCAGCACCCCGATGATGCCATCTTTCCTCCGAAAGCTGTGGTTCCTGAGTCCACCTCTGTAGAGGGGACCTGGCCACAGAGGGAGAGGAGGAGAAGTCCCCCGGGCGCTGATACTCCTTCACTGCCATCTCAAGATGTGGCTTGAAGGCTGGGTTCTTTTTCTGGATTTCACACTGGAGCACCACTAACTGATGCTCCTGTTCTTTTATCTGTTGATCCATCTTTTGCTTCAGGTTTTCCACCTCCCGTTTCTGGGCGACCAGCTCATCTGTGAGCTTCTGACATTTCTGGTAGTGATGTGCCTCCCCATCCTGCCCTCGGTGCATCTGCTCACGATATTGCTGGAGCTGCCTCTCAAGTTCTCGGATATTTGTTTCACAGAGCCTCGCGTTCTCTTGTGCCCTGCGGTTTTCCCGCTGGAGAGACACAAAGTCAAGCTGGATGCCCGAAATATCATGTTCCGTGATAACTTTGGAGTCCATCAGTTTTTCCATCTTTTTCCGAAACTCCTCTGCAGAACGTTTGAATTTCTCAGATTCCTCCTGAAACAGAACCATCTTCCTGTGGGTCACCTGCTCCTCTAGGATCTTTAAGTGCAGTTCATCTTGCAACTTTTTCAATCTGTCGTTCAGGTCCTGCACCTGTGCCCACTGCATCTGCACTGCCTGCTCACCAAGGCGTTTCTCCTCTTTGGATGCACTTAGCTCAGCACTCAGACTTTGCACCTCCTTCTCCGTGTTCTGGATGATGAGGTCCTGCTGGTCGCACTTCTGCTTAAATTCACTTACTAAATGTTGACTTTGGGCCAGGTCTTCTTCAAGGCATTTGATCCTCCTCTGGAAATCCTGTTCCGTTTTCATCTGTTTGTGCAAGTGTTTGTTTGTGGCACAAAGCTGGTCTTTAAAACCATCCGCCTGGATTTTCAGTGCTTCACATCTTT